CCAAACACTCGTCATTTGGTTGCGGCGGCAGCAGAAGCGGCAGCTGCCTGGGTGGCTGCCACAGCAGCTGCACGATGAGCACCCCAGTATACATAATCAGGCTTGGTAGCAGCGTTGTGCTCTTCAATCAAACTGTGAACCACCTGACGACTGTCGGCAAATTCTGTGAGAGCAGGGTCATCACGAAACACATCTTCCTTACGAAACTGTTCAAGGAAAGCACCTCGCGTGCGAAGCTTGTCGTACTGCGCCAATGTACGCAAAAATAACTAAATCCCGAAGGCAACAATGGATGGATCAGAAAGACGAACCAAATAAACAAACAAATAAAGATAAAACAAACATGTGCAAATTGACATTTTATTGAAGATTAACACTTTGGATGGGATACCTGGCAACGTCGACATGCAAGTAGTAACATTCTCGTTTAGATAAGAAAAGTTCCTCATTCTGAGGAAATATGCATCCTTCAAAAGATTTAGCTTAATTGTCCAAGGCAAATTCAAGGAAAATTAAGGTAATGCACACGAGTAGCGCAAAATGCGCATACAAGAATCCCTTATCCTTAATTATTATTACAATAACAAGCATTATTACGGAGTGCACACTTGAATAAATACTAGGCTACCTCAAAGTTGCGATACGGCAAAAATAGTAGGCGCTTTGCTAACTTGGAATATATGGAAATAAAGACATTTCATTCATAAATAGCAGGACAGGATAGATCTGCTTATTCTTTAGTAAATGCCTGCCAATGACGAATTAGTACTTTAACCATTAACTTAATTGAATCGGTTGATTTTTACGTGAATCCCAAAGAATAAGACTGAAAATGTAGCAATATGGTTTAAAAAAATAAAGGTGCAGGAGATGTATACACTATTATTTAAATAGTTTTCTATAGGCTCGAAAGTTAAAAGTATGGAATATCGGGACAACCCGTCAAGTAAAGGCTTCAATAGATGTGGCGATGAGCTCTAAATGCAAACTAGTTGGCAAATAAAGCCCAATTAATTAAATTTAAAACAAAATAACGTGATCAGAAGTTGTTTGATCTTGTTTTCGTAACTTGGTCATATTGGCAGGAAGACCTAGAGGAAAGCACCTTCTCCGAAGTCCATAGTATGTATAATAATTTCCAATCGGACCGTGAGCTTAGCACATTCCCAAACTTCGCCGGCATCGTCAGTGAGCCTTGCAATTCTTAGCACTACACTAAAAGCCGTCAGGGACAAGTTAAGTCGATCGCTTGACCAAATGTGTGCCTAACAGTTGTGATCTCTTCTTTTGTACTGGGCTATCCATCTATATTATATCCTCGTATCACCCCCTCAATATTACAATTTCCCACTTGTTTATCTAGATCTATTTGAAATATATTCACACTCCCCACTGGTTTCCTTAATCCTCCAACAGTGCAGGGGGCGTTGATCCAAGGCTGCGGTTTAATCCGCAAACCTCTCTCTTCGGGTCCTTTCAGAGTCCCCTCTTGCCCAGTGGGATCTTTCCCTTATCTGGCTGTTTCAGTGATTTCACTCCATCGCTGCCATCGTATCCGTGCTATTTTCAAGATGTTGTTACTCCATCTGCCTCAAGCCTTTATTAGCACGTATTCACCACATTCACTGAGCAAGCCCCTAAAGTCTGTATTCTCTATTGGCATGACAACCTAACTTGACGCTGCAGATTCCCTTATCGCTGTGCGGCATGTGCACCGACTAAATCTCGTGGTCAAGCCCTTACTTCATGGACCACGTGTTTGAGCAAACTTATCTACTAATAGCCAAGTATAAATGGCCATTACCGTTTCTCTCGCTCTTCTATGACATTCTATGGCATGCCAGCCCCCCAAATAGGATGGTTCTACTTAATTTAAATAGGCTCACTGTAGACGTCTCTTGGTTTCCTATTGTTCCTCTCTGGTCTCCTTGTAATTTTTCCTACAATTAAAAGTACTACCTTTGTCCAGTCGTCCTATTTTTGCTGATATTCCTGTTCTCTGATCTTCTACGAGTTTGTTAAGGTACTAAGTAAGGTTTTCACCAATCCCGCCTTCTTCAAGTCTCCTGTTTATTAGGTCTCTTTTAATCAGGATATCAATGGCTTCTCGTATCTTACATTTTATTGCATTTCCACTATATAAAGCAAGCCTTTCTGTCGATTTCCACTTGATTTCGTGTCCCGTTCCTGCGATGCGTTCCTCTGTTTACTAATATACTTATCTTCACAGTTGCCGCACTCCCGAGCAATCCAGTTAGTCAACCTTCTCGTTTTGCGTCGGCAGGCTTGTGGAGAATATAGTCTTTTCTTTTGTTATCACCTTGATACCATTGTACTGCAGCCATTTGTATTTAGTACGAAGTTAAGGATGCAGTCCATGAGATATCCGGTTTCGTTTAGGGCGAAAACAGGCTAAGCTTTCGTTAGTTACATGACTGAAATTGTTAGAATTTAAACTCTTTCTTGCAAAAGATTCAAGTTAACATTAATTCAATGATATAAGTACAAGTACTGAGTTAAAT